TGTTTTAGATCTTTGAGTTCATCTCATGAAAAATGGGAGCAAAAACAAAAGTGTTGCATTTATATTTTTGTTCAGTGTATATATATGTACAGTGTATATATCTATATGTATATATATATAGATATATACAAATATATATAGAAGTTATTGTATACTCAGGTAAAATACCTTTTTTTAAATTGTACTTAAGGACAGTTCTAAGGACAGTATATATATATCAAAGTCATCGTAACAATATGCAATAAAAACATAATATAAACATATTTATAAAAGTAAAAAAAAAGTACAACATTTCCAATCAAAGATAAATATATGTAAACAAAAAATTACAAAAATATACAAGTAATACAATAAAAAAGAAGATATATATATATACAGTATATATGCGTTTGTAATACATTTGATTTAATTGCCCAATAAAAGGATAGAAAAGAGCATTAAATGGAAAAAATACTCCGGTAACGTACGTTTTTAAAATTGTACTTAAGGACAGTACTCTGGTAATTGTACTTTCCACCACTGGGTGAGGGGTCAGAGGTCATGGTCAGCCTGAGGGCACTGGGTCTTGGTCAAGGACACGGCAGCGGGGCAGACGGGATTTGAACTTGCGACCCTCAGGCTGAATCCTCAGACTCACACGAAGCAGAGAACTCTTCCTCAGTCTCTCTGTCTTCAGCTCGTCCTCCTCCGGGCTGACGGCAGGAATGCTGACATAACAGATGTTGTCTGACAAAGCCAATAATTATCTGCTGTACGGCTGTGTGTCCATTCCCTCCCTCTCCACATCCTCCTCTTCTTCCTCCTCCTCCTCCCACTGCTTCACCCTCTCCTGTCACTCCCCCACACAAACACACAAACATGTATCCATGCAGGTGGAAATGCAGCTTCATCTAATGGGACGACGTGTGAATAATTCAGCCACTTTTATGTACATATTGCTTCTGGACACCAGAAAGAAGTCAGTATTTTTAGGTTTTCAGAAAAAACTCAGTATCTTGAGATTTTTAGCAAAGTCAGAATTATTTGAAACAACTATGTATTTTGAGTTTTTGAGAAAAAAAGTCAGAATTTTGAGAAAAAAGTCAGAATTTGAGTAGCTAATGTGCTAATGACAATAAAGCCTTGAATCAGGTCTCCTCATTGATTTATGGACCAACACCATCCTTCATGGACTTTCTGTCTTTCTGAGGAAGAAAAAAAGTATTTTGAGAAAAAATTCCGGATTTTGAGATTATTTTTAAAAAGTCCGAATTTTGAGATTATTTTTAAAAAGTCCGAATTTTGAGATTTTCGGAAAAGAGTCAGAATTAAAAAATATATATATGACTTTTGAGATCTTCAGAGAAAGTCAGAATATTGGTGAATATTTTTGCCAAAAAAGTCCGATTTCTGGTGAAAAAGGTCAGAATTTTGAGATTTTCAGAAAAAGGTTAGAGTTCTCCTGAACCATCCGGTGCTGGATCGCTGCAGGTCACCACCAGCTCACGGCAGTCAGTTCATTTTCCTCCAAGGACCGCTCTTAACCTCATTATAATAATGGAGCGCTCTCCCAACGACCCGAAACAGCCATTTAGAGAAATCTTTATCGATGTTTATCGTTTGTTTTCAACCAGAACACAAGCCACACGAGTCCTGAGAGGTGAGGAGTTCAGGTTCAGCTGAGGTGTGCAGAGATTTACAAACTAGATAGTGAGATAAGTTTTACTTTGGTTTGAATTGAAACCAAGAATCCTTCCCTCTTTTATACTTTATACTAATATTATGTTTCTCTTCCTCTTCCTCCAAAGGTCCAAACTAAAGACAAGACATTTAAACATCTCATTAGTGTCTACGATATCAACAAAACCAAACATAATGACCAATAAGTGAGTAGCTATCTCACCTTAAAATGTTCAATTTACAGCACATGATTTCATCAAATACCAGATATAGTAAAATAGGTGTAGAAAATAAGAGTCTTTCTGAACTGGTTTATTTGAAGCTAATCTTTTGATCAAATGTTATTTTGTTGACGCAACGAAACACACCAATGATCACTTTTATGTAAATACTACAAAACCTTTCTTCAACAAGGGAGACAACCTTGAACTGGAAAATCCAAAGCAATCCTTGTTTCCTTTCGACAGGCCGCACTAGTGTTTCCCCTCTGATATTGTGTTCTCAAGACAAGTTTTTATTTAAGGTATGATGTGAACCGTTGTGCGTTCAAAAATGTGATGTTTGCCCTAAACTTTCAGGGGTTTTGTAAGTGAAGCTTTGGACTGAAACAGACAGAGGAAGGACCGTGACCGAGCTAAATATTGGTTACCTTGGATGGAGCCTTTGAGTTTCCCAACAACACAAAGACAGTGAACGCACCGCTCAGAGTTTCTGATGCTTCAGGGCTGCCAGGATTTAACTTCGGTCCATTCTCACTCCTGAAGTCACACAATGGATCCCGGAAGGCCCCTGACATTGACTCGTAAACTTTCAATTACACGTACGAAAAAGGAAAAAACACCAAGATTACAGCGTTGTGGTTTTTCCGAAATAAACTTAAAGAAAACACACGCTGGAGGTATAAGATCTGCACTCTCACACACTGAGGCTGAGAGCTTTATCCTGCTCAACATCTGACCCCCTTTTCCCCCTCATTTAGCAAATTGGTGTCCCTTATCGTGCCGAGGACTGCCTGTGAACCAGAAAGCACACACATAATAGAAGGGGAGGCAGGGAGCTGAGCTTCGAGCTTCCCTGCTGAGGTTTTTATAGCTCAGAGGGAAAGAAAAATAGATTTGGTGGGACGGGTAAAGAAGCCGGAACAGTGTGTTTCAAAATCCCTGTCCATCGCAATTTTTGGTTGAAGCTGTGTGTGGGATCTCAGTTCAAATTAAGTCCTCACAAACTCATAAAGAGAAAAGACTCCTCTGTGTCCTCATGTCGACCCCGATCCGACCTCTCTGTCTCTTTAGGGCAAAACAAAACCCCAATTAAAAGCTAATAGCTAATGAGGATGGGTTTGGTTTATCCCCTCAGATTTAAGGAGAGACTCTACATGTGTTGCTTGATTTTGAGATTTCAGTGGAGAAAACACACATTCATATGGTGGTCTGAAACATTTACATTAGGAGACATTCAGCTTAAGAAACGATGGATATATAAAAACACAATGTGCCAAAACACATATCTTTACCAACTTCACAACAGAAACCAGGGGACACTATAAAGTGATGCACATTGTTATGAAATACTCTAACTCTTCCAACAGTTGCATTTGCATGTGTTTTGGGCACCTGTGTGTTTTTATATTTGCGTCGTTACTTGCAGCACGTTTCTCAAAATGGAAATGATTTGGGCTGCGCATTTGCACCCGTCAGCCTCCGTACTTTGCATTTGCTCCCGTCAGCCTCCGTACATTTAGGTGTAGATTTAAGTAACTTTGTCTATTTGGGTCTTTAGCTCTCCTCTGTCAACACCAACAATCAAAATCATCCAGGGTTATGCTTACTGAACTTTTAGAAAAATACTAACTGAATTCAAACTCTAGCCTGAAGCAAGGATAAAACGAGGTTTTTACACTCGTTTTATCCTTGCTTCGCTTGTAAAATGCACAGCAGTGACGGTTATCTGGTGTCGCGTTGTCTTGCGTCCCCCTCTGTGGTTCCCATGCTCCCTCCCAGCAGCTGACCGCTCGCTGACCCCTGCAGCCGGTGGCTCCGCGCTGAACTCTGGTTCAAAACGTTGCCCTGTTCCCAGTGACTGAGCGGCCTTCAGATAACGACCCTGGCAGAGTTTCCTCGGCAGCGGACATAATCAGGCCGGGCTGTTTGTGGCCCATTCATTTTCTGCCACACAGCTCCATTCTGCGCCTGTGAATGAAGGCGGTCAGGTGGAGGCTGGAGATGACCTCACAGTGACAGTGAGTGGCGGCTAATGAGGTCAACATGGGAAGGTCCTTCTACACTCTCTCAGAATTCAGATTTTAACTTTTTTTCTCAGAATTCAGATTTTACCTCTTTCTCAGATTTTGACTTTTGTTTTTTACCAGATTTTAACTTTTTTCTCAGAATTCAGAATTTTATTATTTCTTTCTCAGTTTTTGACTATGTTTCTCTCGGATTATGACTTATTTTCTCTCATATTTAGAATTTTTTTCTCAGAATTCAGATTTGGAGATGCTGGTGACCTCAGCAGTGACAGTCAGTGTCGCCTAATGAGGTCATCATGTGAAGTAGGGTCGCTCTACACTGACTATAAATACTGTGGATACTTCTACTATTGTTAAAGTACTTATTGTACTATATTATAGTAACACTAATAATAATAATACTAGATTACATTTATTATAGCACCTTTCAAGGGACCCAAGGCCGCTTTAGATGGTGTGAACAAACAAACAAACAAGTTACCCACTCAATATGCATTACATGCAGCGGTACTTGTACTTACCATATATATTTCCATTTCCTGCTACTATATAATTCTTCTCCACTCCAAATAAATATTAAACGTTTTGCTCCTCTACATTTATTTGACACTTGTAGTTTCTACTGTAGCTACTTTTTACATCAATAAAGTGATGATTATTAATATTACACGGTTTAGTTGAGTACTCTATTATGACTGGTTAATTCGGAAATTCTAGAGGTCTGCTATATTTCACTAACAGACTGTTTCTAAGGAGAGCAGACTGTTGCTAAGGAGAGTAGACCGTTGCTAAGGATAACAGACCGTTGCTAAGAAGGATCAAGGGTTATATCAAAACTCACAGAAAGAAGTCCCGGTCACTTAACGTCAGCTGTGGACAACACCAGTTTAAAAATACAATAATTTTGAATTAATATTTGTAGTTATGTCCGTGGTATATTTAGTACATGTAATAAGCGGGATAAAACGCCCCTTTTTGTGTACTTTGTGTACTTACCTCACAACACAAAGTAATGTTATCAGACATGTTGGTCACCCTTGTTGAAAGCATTATAAGACAGTCGTTGATTTTGTTCTTCTACTTTACTCTTTACATCCACTTACAGCAGCTACATCACAGACACTCATGAATGCATACACTTATATACAGACTCCTTAAAGCGGAGAAAGTGCTATCTCCTTCCACAAATCCATCCGTACGTTCAGATTTCACAGCGTCTATTAGACAGAACAGTCCTAAATTTAGACCAATAATAATAAAAATAATAATAACTTTACTCTCTATATATGCTTCTCTACACAGTGAAATATATCTAGCAGTGAAACAAAGTGTTATGGACATTACAGGTTAGTTATCTATTCATACTTACACACGCAAATATTATTACAGAGTAAAAGTACACCATAAGTGATACATCTGCATTTTAAATACAGCTTATTCAGAATGCTACTTCATTTGATACACACATAATAGCACTGTTGAGGATATATACTACATTCATGTTCAGAAAACAGAACAGTTTGAATGCTTGGGAGGTTGCATGTGTTCAGCGAGGGTCTGGAAATATTCTCCAATAGTGTTCTGACTTTAATCAGATTAATTCTATTGAGTGTAGTCCATTGAGCTGGCAGACATCCAGTGCCTTGCTCAAAGGGAATTCAGGTTATGAGATATGTACAAATATAAAGAGCATGACTGGTTTTAATGCCTGTAAATTGGAGATGAAGTCCCTGGAGTGGAAGACTTTTACCGGCTGCATGTTTGTGAGTATAAGTGGAGTGAAATACCGTCTGATTCAGCACAGAAATGATATCAATTATTCAGCCCGTGTCCACATAGCGCCTTTCTCTGGCAGCAGCTACCAGCGATTCATTGAATACATTTTTCTGTAGAAGGCAAGCCCTCTTTTCTTTTTGGAATCAATTGAAAAAAGGCGCCTTGTGGACGAGATAAGAGAGGACAAGAGGTAAACAAAATGTGAAAACCCCAAAGCTGAGTGAAGGGTCTGACTCAACAAAATAGGTCAATTTGGCTTTCCAGATGAATATGACCTATTGAGCCCAGACCCTTTTCATTTTGTGATTCATCTCTGAAGAGACGTGTGCTTGCAGTCCATTCAGCGGGCGCTTCCTCAAAGCAAACCCAGAGCTTCTGTTCAAAGACATGCCAGGAAAAGAATAACTTAAATATGCATCAGGTGGCTAAAAATAAACGTGTGCTACGACAGGAAGTGTTTGTTGAAGGTTTGGACCCAACCCCTGCAGAGATGATGACATGAACCCCTTCTTCATGTCCGTGTTGGCCTGGTCTGCTCCCTCAGTGCACCATCGTACCTCCTTGGTAGGTTTTTCCAGAAGAGTCTCTCCTCTTGGTGTTGGGAGTGGAGTCAAAGTCAGTCCAAGTCAACGTTATTGTCAATCTGGAGTGATCTAGAGCGGTTGGTTGTAAGTGAAGTTCACGTGCAGCCCGTTGACCGGATGCACGATCGGCACTGTCTGCATTTTGGGGAAGCTCTCCGTGGCCAGAGTCCATTTGCAGGTCCCGATCAGCTCCACAGCCAGAGTTTTTAGGATGATCTGAGCCAGCTCTTTCCCCACGCAGCTCCGAACGCCGCCTCCGAACGGCACGTAGCTGAAGCGGTTAGATTTACTCTCCTGCCGGTCCGGGCCGAACCGATCCGGGTCGAACATCTCGGGGCTCTGGAAGGCCGCGGCCGTCTCGTGGGTGTCTCTGATGCTGTACATCACACTCCAGCCTTTGGGGATCTGGTATCCCTGGGACGTGAGGAGAGAAATCATTTTCAGTGGACGAAAAAAAGTTTTAGATTTTGACTTTTTTCGCAGCTTTAGTTTTTTTCTCAGATTTTGACTTTTTTTTATTTAGGCTTTTTTTTTTTTTTTTGACTTTTTTTCTGAGATTTGACTTTTTGATTTTTGCGTTTTATTGATTTTGACTATTTTTTCAGATTCTGTCTTTTTCGTCGTGGGTGTCTCTGATGCTGTACATCACACTCCAGCCTTTGGGGATCTGGTAGCCCTGTAACGTGAGGAGTGGAATCATTTTAGGTGGACGAAAAAAGGTTTTAGAGTTTGAGATTTTTCTGAGATAATTTTTTTTCTCAGATTTCTTTGTTATTGATTTTGTCTCTCAATGTTTTCTTAGATTTTTTCTGTATGGATTTTGACTTTTGTTGTATTTTGAATTTTTTCTCGGACTTTTTTTATTATTGGTTTTCAAATGTTCCTCATATGCTTTTTTTTCAGATTTTTACTTTTCTCAGATTTTGATCTAGATTTTAGTTTTACTTTATTTATTTATTTTCTCCTCAGATTTTGACCTTTTTCTCAGATTTTGACATTTCTCTCTGATTTTTTTGGCAGCTATAGCTCATAGTAATGAGATCATGCTTAAAGACAAACACAATAACATTGATGGAATACAATGTCCTGCAAGAGTTGAACTCACGTCTAATTCGAACGTCTGCAGGGCCGTGCGGTATCCTCCAGAGACCGGAGGCAGGAAGCGGAGAACCTCTTTGACGACACAGTCCATGTACCGAAGCTGACTCAGTTTATCCAGGCTCAGGAACGGGATGTGAGACTGAGGGGAACCGTCCCCGAGGTTCTGACAGCTCAGCAGCCCGCTGGTTTCCGAAGCTTCTTCTTCTTTCTCCGTCCTGACCCCAGGTGGACTGAATGTTTCGTATCCGAGTCCCTCAGCCTCCAGCTCCACTCGGGCTCTTTCCACTACCATCGGGTGGCGAAGAAGCTGCAGGATTAAAGACGTGGAGGCGCTGGCGGTGGTGGAGTGAGCCGCGAAGATCAACTCTACTGCGGTTTCCTGCCAGGAGAAAAGTGGAGAGACTTAGTTAGATCATTTCATCTTAGAGAGTCCCCATTGTGCTTTGTGTGTTTATGTTCTAGAGGTTTGTGAATCAGAATCAGAATCAGATATATTACAAGGTAATGTAAGGTAATTGTCGGGACCCCCTTGAAAACGAGATGGTGCATCTCAAGGGGTTTATCCCAATGAATACAATTTCTATATATATATGTAAGTTGACACGTACGAGGAATTTGACTTGGTGTCGTGGTGCATACATACAAATAAAACACAAATTAAAAACACAGATAGGAAACTATTTTAAGAAAATTATAATAACAGTCAAAAATATTTTAAAATATAGCAGTATTTACATTGTGTGTGTGTGAATGGTCTGCAAAGGCTAAAAATCCCTTTGTTCCCCCACAGCCCCTGCCTGAAACGCCTCCATTGGACTCCTTTGTTTACATCCAGAACATAGTGACATCACTTTGGAACAACCATGCTTCTGTGGCGGGTTTTTAGAGCCGAGAGCTCGAAGAATTGGTTCACAACGTGCATTGCAGAAATATCTCAGATAATACATCTCTGAGCGAAAGACCCTTAACCCTCCAAGAGATTTGTTTTTAAATAAATAAAGTACTTTAAAGACTTGTATTTAGTGTTTTTATGAGGCTTCACAATATCAGCTTCATGATGACCTCGTATTTTAATCTTTAATCTGACTGCAGCCTTACGGCCCGTCCACACACAGGCTTGAAAAAAAAATCTTTCAAAGCTTCGCCCATTCACTTGAATGGGGTGACGTAGAAGATTTTTATTCTTCGCCGAACTGCATTGTGGGGAGCGGAGCATGGCTTTGCAAGCATCGTGAGCATCAAAAGTTGAGCAATGTTCAACTTTTGATGCTCCCGATGCTTTCGAAGCTGGCATCAGCCCATCAAATCCCGTGTATGCAAATCCCGCCAGTACAAGCGCTAGCCAATCAAACCGCGTGCAAGCTGGGAGAGCCAGACCGCAGTTCATTTCCTCATATTCCAAACGAGAAATTACGGTAGCAAATCACCCGGTTCTTTACGACCAGAACTATTTACCGGGATACAAACCGGAGGAACCAGGCATGGAGGGAGGTGGCAGAGACAGCTGGTGAAACTGGTAGGTTTTTCGCCTGTTTGGAGAGTTTATATCCAGTTTACTTCGTTTTAACATTGCTATTGCTTTGTATGTCGGGGGCGGGAGATTCATGTGATTGGTTGTTGGTCGCGTTGTTCGCAAAAAATCGCCAAGCTTCAGACACGCCCAGCTTCAAGATTTTTCAAGTTTTTTTTCATGCCTGTGTGTGGACGGGCCGTTACTACGTCTTTATCGGCATATTAACAGACTTTGAGGCTTGCAAGGACTTCCAGACATTGATTGAGAGTCGTGTTGGTACCTTGAGCTCCTGGATGCTGATCTGCTGTCCGAGCTCCTTAGCGCTGGACAGCATGTAGTCGAAGGCGTCTTGAAATTCCTCCTCCGCCTGATGCCGCGCCATCTTCTCCTCGATGATTTTCTGCATGTTGGCGTGCAAGATCTCTCTGGCTTTGATGCCCTGAACAGGAAACAACCCGGAAGCGTTATAATTAGATTCAATGTAGAGATATTAATGTCATACGAACTGCAGGCTCCTCCCACAATGCAACATACATATATATTATAAGTCATAAAACAACTAGAAAGTCCCAGGTTCCCTCTCACCTTACGCAGCCCGCTGAGTGGAGCGTCGACAGGCAGAGAGAACAGGTTGTTCATCAGCTGCTCGAAGATCTGCGCCAGGTAAACGATCCGCTCCTCCTCCATCTTCAGACCCAGAAGGATCCGGACGGCGATCCGGAAAGTCAGAGATTTGGCGGCGCTGTAGACGTCGACGGATCCCGGCTCCGAGCACCATTTGGCGATTTCAGACTTCACGACTTCCTGCAGCCGAGGAAGGTAGGACTCCAGAGCGCCGCGGCTAAACACTTTAGCCAGGATCTGGAAAGGGTCGACAGAGGGATATCAAACAACGTTACAGCATGACAGGCAACACCTTTCTGTAAATACTTGCTGAGGAGGGGGAACGGGTGGGTGGAAAACCACTTCAGTTTTCCACTCTGTTTTTAGTATACATGCTTCTTATATAGGTACATACACATACACACATACACACAGTTATAAATTGCACATGCATTGAGAGGTCCAGAGCGGAGAGGCACTGGGGAACAGTTGGGGGTTAAGTGCCTTGCTCAAGGGCACCTCAGAAGTGGCCCAGGAGGTGAACTGGCTGCTCTCCAGTATCAGTCCACACTCCGTAATGTGTTGGTCCTTTGGCCCAAAGTCCAAGTCCCTACAGACTGAGCCCCTGCCACCCCAAAGAGACATACATGGGGTTCTCTTTACCTTCCTCTTCCTCTTGTGCAGGTCTCCGATGGAGTTCACCAGTGTGTTGGGCCCCAGGATGATGCGGGTGCTCTGAGGCCACTGAGTGCAGACCAGACTGTGTTCTCCCAGGAGAATCTTCCGGATGTTTTCTGCTCCCGTCACTCGGACCACGGGTTTCCCGAGAAGGTGGGTCTTAAACACATTCCCATGTCTCTCTCTGCGGGAAATGTGGAAGTTTGAGCCCTGGAGAAGTGATCAGAGAATTAAGTTATAAGAGCACAAGTAGAGACAAATAAAGAGTTGATTTGAATATTGAAGCTAACTTTAAAGTAGAGACACTACATACTGATATACACCTGAGCATCAGCAGGAGAGGACTCTTTAAAGTAGAGACACTACCTACTGATATACACCTGACATCAGCTGAGAGGACTCTTTAAAGTAGAGACACTACATACTGATATACACCTGAACATCAGCAGGAGAGGACTCTTTAAAGTAGAGACACTACATACTGATATACACCTGAACATCAGCAGGAGAGGACTCTTTAAAGTAGAGACACTACATACTGATATACACCTGAACATCAGCAGGAGAGGACTCTTTAAAGTAGAGACACTACATACTGATATACACCTGAACATCAGCAGGAGAGGACTCTTTAAAGTAGAGACACTACATACTGATATACACCTGAACATCAGCAGGAGAGGACTCTTTAAAGTAGAGACACTACATACTGATATACACCTGAACATCAGCAGGAGAGGACTCTTTAAAGTAGAGACACTACATACTGATATACACCTGAACATCAGCAGGAGAGGATCCAGTTTAAATGGGACATTCGGCAGAGGGAATTATAAGAA